CCAATCATCATTACATGCAAAAGACCCGATCGATAATTATTATTATTATTCACATGTCAATGAAACTTGAAAAAGAAGTACCCAGGAATACTCCACAGGCCTGTTTAGTTTTTGGTCTAAATCTGTGTATATTAATTGTCTAATTTGCACAGAAGTGATTAGATTAGAATTTAAATTAAACTGATGCTTTGGAATAAATGCAAACCGAAGATGTATAATCAAATGTATTTACTTTGTTAATTCCTGTTTGGACACCATTCAAAAACAGGGACGGTTAATTTAGGGTCAAAGACTAGGGTCAAACATCATGTTGGTGTGATGATAATATATATTGGGTTATAGGTGCATGTTATTTTTTTTTTAGCTCCGCTGTCTACTTTTGTCAAGCGGAGCTCATCATATCACCTGACTCAAGGTGGTGGCGGCGGTGTCAAGTCAAGACTTTAGTACTTCTCGGTCTTTGAATTTGAGGCCAGTTGGGGGTAGTTCTGGCATTGGTAAAAAGACATGCTACACACAAAGTTTCTGTCGAAGGCAAAGCTCAATCTGAGAATGTGGACGATTTATTTTTAATAAAGAAATCATACTACATGTATAAATTAAACCCATATGTGTATATGTGCTTTTTTATCCATTTCTAATGCATGAACTTACCAAATAAGTCACCACCCTGATCATATACTGTACTTCCCAGAGCATAAGCCTCTCCTCTCTGTTTTTAGACATTTAACAAGTTGAGGGCATCCCCGAGTATAGGTCCATTGTGCTTTTACCGGGCATCAACGACATTTATTAAAATATGCATGTAAAAAGTGTATTTCATTGCATAATAATCGTGAGTGGTACGGTAGTTTGGTTCCTGCTTTTACAAGAAAACTCGTATTAATTTCAGGCCAGCGAAGGTGAGGAACATGGTTCGCACATTTTCTATTCTGTTATTTACACAGGATGAGCCCTGATGTTGCAATATTGAAGTAATCCATACTCCTTTTGAGTAGTACTTTTAGAAACGCCAAAAATGTGATTGTCAAGTCGTGAAACCTGGAAACCTGGCGAATCAACAGCTTTAGGGAAAAAAATCACTGTTTTCACTTCCGCATTGTGTTGAAAAAATTACTTCTTCAATAATCGGAAAACTTCGTCTGTATGACACAGCATTTAGATTGGTTAACGAAAGACGTGACCTGTTAGGTCAAAGGAAGTTGTTCAGGTCAAGTCATGATGCAAAACACTATGGCGGAAATTGCTTTGTATCGAGAGTTTCTGTACAATGAAGATAATGATAAAGATCTTGCCTTTGACTGTTTTCCCACAGACCTTATCCATTTTTGCATCGTAAATTCAGACGGTATGTAAATCGTATTGTAATAAAATGTGTGTATGTTTCTTCATTGTAAAAAGTGTCATAGAAATCAAAAAGACGTAATATTTCTCCGAGACCGGCGCTGTGAACGAAAAATGTAATTTGGATAATTGGAAAGATGGTTACAATTTTACACACCTCCCCAAAAAAATTTTTCTTTTCTGAGGGGGTCCTTGAGTATAAGCCTACCCTATAATTTTCTCGATTTTACGTGTTCAGGCTCCTGGGCTTACCGTATACTCGGGGAATTACAGTATTAATATGTGGGGTCAAGGGGTCATATATAATTATGTGCTTGATATTGCTTGCTTTCAACACACTCACACATGCATACTAACAAAGTTAAGTTGGATTTATATTAATGAGACTGGACTGGATGTATCATGTTAGAATTGTGTAGTGTCCTAGTATGCTATGCTAGAAAGGCCTGTGCAGCCAGAAATTGATTTATACACAATGTTATTGTTTGTTTTTACAGGAAAAAGCTGATCGATGTTCCAGTAGATGGAAAGCCATTCAAGATGAGCTTAATGCACTCAGTGAGTCAGTAAAGGAAATTCAACCTGAACACAAAGAAGCAACAAATGAACTACAAGAACAAAAGAAAAAATTGAAAACTGTTCAGGTGAGACAATTAATAAATATAGATAATTTTATACCTCTGACACCAAAGAATACACAGAAACGCTGTGCAGTGCATGATAAAAACAGTCTTGTCACTGAATGCAAACAGAATACACAGAAACGCTATGCAGTGCATGATAAAAACAGTCTTGTCACTGAATGCAAACAGAATACACAGAAACGCTATGCAGTGCATGATAAAAACAGTCTTGTCACTGAATGCAAACATTTGTGCAGCGCAAAACATTGTTTGTTTCCATTTCAGGCTTTTATCTTATTAAATTATTACTACAAGCAGGGGGAAATGTTAATTAATATTAATAATATGCAGTGAGGCATAACAGGAATTCATTGACCTCTGCCACATGTCAGCCAATATGATCACCATGCTATCTTTGTGCATACTTTGTGGTATTCTCTTATAATAACCTCTCTATCCAGGTTTTCAAGGACAAAGCTATCTGCTGATGATGGCTAATACTGACATTTTCAATCAAGTGAATGATACTGTGCATCCGAACCTAAATCTTAGACATGTCTGGACCGATTACATTCAAACTTCATACATACGTCATACATAATATTATACATATGCACATCAATTTATTTCTTGATCTGATTCAAGATGGCTGAAATGCGGCTATTTTTGTACTGAAAAATCATCAAAATCAAGCATTTCTTGGCTGTTTACAGATGGATTTTGTTCAAACCTGATACATACATTAGACATTATTAGACCTTGATGCACGTCATTTTATTTTTCAGATAAGATTCAAAATGGCTGACTGGCGGCCATTTTGTTTTAATGAATGTGGTTCTAGACCCATATCTCTGACTTGCTTTGACTGATTATGTTCAAATTTTAAATATTTATTGATCATCTTGTCATAGATATACAGATATATTGGTTTGACGATCCTATTCAAAATGGCTGAAAGGTGGCCATTTTTGTGCTAAAAAATCATCAAATATCAAGCATTTCTGGCATTTCTGGATGGATTTTGTTCAAATATATAACATACATTAGACATTACGGGTTCCTGATGCATGTCATTTTATTTTTCAGATCGGATTCAAAATGGTTGACTGGCGGCCATTTTGTTTTAATGATTGGGCTTCTACAGCCATATCTCTGACATTCTTTGACTAATTATGTTCAAATTTCATATATTCATTATACATCATAGATATATACATGTATTCAAAATGGCTGATTTTGTTACCTTGCCCGTACCATCAAAGATGGAAGGGAAAGGTGTATTAAGGAAAAGATTTCTGTCCGGCGTCATCGTCGTCCTCGTTAATAATTGTTATTGTGTGCACAATAACTTTATTAATTCTATTTCAAACTTATTCATCAGTACAAAGTTTGAACAACATATGTCCTGTATGAAAATATCATGCAAAAATTGAGAAAATCTGATAAAATATTTTGACTTTCCACTTGATTGATCACTGGTGATACGCATCAGAGGTCACTGATCTCAGTGGAAATATGCATTGTTGTATGTGTTCAATGAAGCAAATCATTTATCTTGTAATAATATCCTTGGTAATGTATCTCCCAAATCCCATGGGAATATGGAAACCTACCAATAAAATCTTTACAGAAAACAAGATGTCAGAAAATCAATATAAGCACTCCTATGAATTGGGTGCTAAACTTTTGATCAAGATTTGAAGCCAATAGAAAATCTGTTTAGTTCAAAGAAACAATACATAAAAAAATACATAAAAAGCAAAACGTTGCATCCACAATTGTATTTAAAATATATGTATTCTGTATTTGACAAACAGTTCATTCGACAAATGAAAATTCACAGGAATTTGTTTCAGCTATTAGAACAGAATGATATAGCTTTATAAGACTAATTTAAATCCCATTTCAAAAACAAAGATTGCAGTGTTTGAAGATGTAGATTCTCAGGAGGCAACAGTACTGTTGACTTTCTCTCCACTGGACACCAACTAACGATTTAAGTTGATTTGCATACAAAGCAGAGCTTGCAACATGATAGTTATTCCTAGAGGGTGTTTTTTTATACTTTTACAAAAAATATAGTAGTCACACAATGAATATAATAAGGCTGTTCATATTTGACACAGTGAATCATTAGTTTTTGACATACACCTGTACAAAATACTTTGGCAAAAGCCAGCTAAAGATTTTCTGTTATCTTGCATGTTTTATG